TGTATATGTCATTCCCAAGACAAATTGACGCTGTATTGGCCGCAAAAGGAGGCCCTACACCATACTAATAAATTATTGTGGTCTAAAACCAGGTGTTTCAGTTTCATTGTCCAACCCCTGTATTTTGGTGCTAAGCCATTCAGTGATTCATAATGTTAGTCTTTGCATGATCCCAGCACTGCCTGTTTCTGGATGTCTTTTCAACTTGCTGTGTTGCTGCTTAATGCCCTTTATTTTATTTTAAAATTTAAAATGTTCCCATCCATTCTTTCCTTTCTTTCTGATGTTGTTGTATTTATTTAAGAACATGTAACTGCAGTCCTTGAGGAGTCCTTGAGGAGAATCTAAACTAGAGACTTGTGATATTTACCTGGTGATAGATTTAATTTATGAAGCTGAAGGAGAATAAATCTCGTTTTCCTCACGTATTTGGACTTCAATTACCTCATGTTTCATTGTTTTTCTTTTTAAATGTAACATTTTTGTCAATTCTAGACTTTCTGTTTGAGTTTATGTAGCCGTTATGTTTCTCTTGGGATTGGCTATACATATGTCTCAACTTTTTAATTACTTGGTTATGTGGTACTACATGACATTTACTATCGCATACCTTCAGACACCTTCAGTTTCCAATCTATGACATATCAAAGCTATTATAACAACTAAAGCCCAATCTCAGGAATATTTATTATTTGAAAAATGTTTAGTTTTTGGGTTTTATTTTTGTAAACTGTTTTGTAATATATATTAAAATTTCAAGAAATTAAACTGGCATTTAAAAAGTAAAATCCTGAAAAAATTTAATCTTAGGGACTTGTTGTGATCCTAGAGATTGGATGCAGCACTTTATTGAAGATGACGCTCATGTCATTATGTTAAATTGAATACTGGCCTTCAGATTTTGGGAGATGTCAACATAGCTCTGAAATACTTGGCTGAAGGTCCTGAAAGTAAAAGCCAATAGAAGTTTATTTATAAAGCACTGTAAACAAAGCAAGCACTGACCAAAGTGCACTGGAGTGTAAAAATATACATTGAACAAAATTAAAATGTCAATAATCTTACACAACATAAAACTTTTTTACACTGCATGCCAGCCTGCAGGCAATGTTTTACTTTAATAAGACATATGGCTGAGCTGTTCTTTGTTCCGTTTGCACTCCAAATGAAATAATTTAATTGTTCTTTAAAATAAGTGATTAGAGCCTTTCGCACAATTACCTCAGATTGTTAAATCTAGCAAAAATCAGCATCATACAGCATTTAGCAAGAGATACTAATTAATATTTTGCAACTCACAAGCTGATGGTGTGCTGTGTGAAAAAAAAGCTTTGGGAATCTGAGGAATTAGTATGGCAGTCTGCTGTGTTGGTGTGACATGACTTTATGGCTGCTGCACAGCTTTCAGCACATATTGTTGTCCTGCCAGTTGTTGCCTGTTCTTGTCTTTTTAATCAAAACCCAATTATTCACTAAGCCTTTGGGAAATACAAAACAACTTCTTTTGACAGTAAGCAGAGAAAGAGTAGTTTATTGCTTGTATTTATGTTCAGTCCCACTTTAAACTTTGTTGGCATTTATTGTGTAACAATAAACTTTCAACACAAGATGATATGCCGCTCACAAAACTTACAAAACATCAGTATGATTTCATCAAATATTAATTAACAAAAAATGGGAAAAAGAAGCATAGAAAAGTCAAAACCAGCCACTGAATATTGAGATGGCAAGAGAAGACAAACAAACCGGACAATAGTAAACAGTAAAACAGATTATTTGCTTGTTTGCAAGCATGCAGAAGCTATAGAAGACAGCATCTGTAACAGCAAGGTTACAAGAAAAACAGACACCACTTGAACTGCCCATAAAAAAGGGTAATAAATAGTTCATAAACTGGTTGTTAACCAGCTGCAAAAACGTTCGGCAAAAGTGACATTATTTGTGCTGAAAATCATATACTCCAAAAATGGAGAAGACACATCAAGTTTGAAGTTAAATAAAAAACATAAAACACTTTTTGTTGTAAATGAGCAGCTAACATCTCCATTATAATGAACCATCAATATCACAGAGGAACAAGGACGTATTGTTCCTCTTCCAGACCAAAGTTTACGATGACCTAATATGTTGTTGCTTTAAATGTGTCATAGCTGCACCGATGTGAGTAAGACAAACTTGGTTAAATCCACCCCATTCCCGTTATGTACAAAGGAATAAAACTGAGATACACTATATACTGTCTGTAAGACACAAAACGCCTGCATTTTACAATCTTTAGTGCATGTACATGAATATTACAGTATTTAAGAGCAAAGAAGAAATGTCCTATCTGTGTTTTAATCACATAAGATAGACAATGTTTCCAAATAGATTTCTGTTTCTTTTTTAAAGGAACAGAAGGGCAATTTTTGGATTGAAGATTTTGGACTTATCAGTTTAAAACCAACAGTACTACTACTGTATTTAAAAATTATTACTAGCATTTTTTTTTAAATTAATTTGCAAATATAAATAATATTTCTTTTAAAATGTCCTACCTAGACCCATATATACAATAGCCTTATGTAATTTGGGCAACAGCTCATAAAGTCATTGTGCTAGTTTTATTTCTAACATAATAAGTTAAATACATCTTCAGAATAAAGTCTTGTCATAATGCTTTATTTTATTAATCACTCCAGATAAACACAATAAAAAGATTTCTGACTTCTGTCCATCTAAACAAAAACTGCTATTTTCTTTGTTGTGAATATGAATATATTATTTATTATTTAATATTAATACTTTAATATTTTATTAAATAATATTTCAGTCTGTTAAGAGTTGTCCTGTGAATACCAGCCCAATACGGCGGTGGCATTAGGACAAAATTGAAAGGGATGAGCCAACCTCCCACATTATTGAACAGAAAAATTCTGCACACACATGGGATGAATTCACACAATTTCTTAAAATACAAGAATTTATTAACAAAAATAAGTCAACTCAAGTCACACATATTTCAATCAACAAACTCTTTACTATGCTAAAACAATCCAACTAAACTACCAAGCAGAATTCAAGAATAAGGAAGACTAATGGGCTATGTACAACATAAACAAGTTGATCAAAGATGGTTGAAAACCCTGACCGAAAGAGTGATGCAACATTACCATGTAATGTTTATGTTTGAGGACCAAGGATTATCTTGAAGAATCTGGAATGAAGTTAAGTTAGTCTTGGAACCAACTTAGGCAATAATTGGCATACATTTAAACAACCATTGACAATGCAAGATCAGATAAAATATTATTTTAATAAAATAATATTTTAAGAATGATTTGCTAAATAAAACCAACCTTCTGGATGACCAATTCTCAACAGTGTTTAATTAGCTGCCTTTATTTAGTAAAATAATATTTAAAGAAATATTATTGTATAAGAACCAAATCTTTCTGGAGAAATTGGCTTAATGGTGTTTACTTAGTTTTCAAGTTTGGTAAAACAATATTTAGGGAAATATTATTTTACTGGATTGAGAACCAACAACCTTTTTGGGTAAATGATCTTTACCAGGCAAGCACGTGTTCTTAGCTGTTAGCAGTTAAAGCTAACAAAAGAAGCTTGTAGCTTATAATCAGAATCAAACACATACCTTTACCATTAATAAAAGGGTTAAAATGCATAAGTGTGGACGGCACGTTATGGCCGATCTTCTGTGTTTAAAATCACCCTTTAAATAAAGTTTTTCTTAACTTTAAAACAAACACAAACACAGAACACCCAACCTGAGCGCGTGTGCTGAGCAGATAATCTGCTAGCACTAAGATGGTTGAGTTTCACACAAACAAAACCAAACTTCATAAAACGAAAAAATGTTTAGATCATTTCATTCTAAATTACTTCTCTCTCTCTCTGCCCAAACTTAACCTCTCAGGTGAACCGTCCTGAGGAAAAGCTGTCCAGGGCGATGAAGTTTGAAGAAACATCTACATTGAACAGAGGGTTAGCTTCAGCTAACCTCCGTAGCTGTTGGGTGGGGCGGCACGTTCTGTCGGCCAGCCAAACTGCACGTTACAGTTGTAACCACACTGATGTGTTCCCGTTGTCCTTTCTTCAGACCGGGAAAACTGCTCCACTCGGCATCATAGAGACAGGGTCTCTGCTGGGAACTCTCTGGAACACAGTTTGCTTCTGTAGACCTCAGAGAGAAAGTCAAGCAACGCTTGTACCTTAATTACCCCCGTTCATGAATGAATACCGGATACACAAACAGCAATTCATTCCTACTTAACTTAGTGCATATGATCGCGTAATCGTATGACACTCTTGGATCCAGTTTGAAGAGTTATGTCTGTTTGCCAGCAAAGAGACATTAGCGCGCTGTGTCTCTCCTTCCAGATCCGCCGGGGGACCAGTGTGGAAGAGACAGAAGCTTTGCGAAAGCGGGGTTTTATTCAAAACAGTGACGTCACGGGAAGTAAATGGACTGGTAAATGGACTGAACTTATATAGCGCTTTTCCAGTCATGCAGACCACTCAAAGCGCTTTACACTAGAGCCAAATTCACCCAATCGCACTCACTAACGCTCACATATTCATACACCGATACGCAGATCGGTAGGCAACTTGAGGTTAAGTGCCTTGCCCAGGGGCACATCAACATATGGCAGGAGGAAGCTGGAATCAAACCCACAACCTTCTGATTGCAAGACAACTACTCTTCCTACTGAGCGACTATTACCCCTTTTCCTGCCTGTGCTGGAAGTAGGTTAATGCGGTTTATTTTGAAAGTTCCAGAAAAGTTCGTACTGGACATTCATGTTGTCCCCATGGCTGGGGTCCCAACACTGAGATGATTAGCTGAATAATGAATTATAACTAATGTCATTCAATTCAAATTCAGTTGGAAAATACATTATTAATCCCAAAGGGATATTAAATGTTGTAATCCAAAATCATTATAGATGGTAATGGCTGTGGGGTTAAAGGAGAGGTGCTGACAAGATGAAAAATGTTTTTAACATTGGGACCCAAATGACTCTGACATCTCCATTCAACGTAACTCTATCATAAATGATAATTTCCCTGAAAAACTTGGGCCCCTGATGGGAGATAGTTGTAAAATCTCTGTGCTTATACATAATAGAAATAACACACCTAAAAGGATAAGAGACAATAATAAACAATCAAACTTAAAAGCCATAAACTGTCACAGACACAGAGTTAATATCTGCCACTGAGTCATATAAACTGGCTTTATTGAACATTAGATCTCTGTCAGGGAAATCATTTTTAATCAATGACTTCATTATTGGCCATAATCTTGATATCATGTTTTTAACAGAAACGTGGTTACATGAATTTAATGAAGCATCCATTCTGATAGAGTCGATGCGTCCGTACTACAATTTTCTTTGACAGCAAAGAAAAGGTGGAGGGGTGGCCACTTTGTTTAAAGATTTACTAAAGTGTAAAAAAGTATTTCTGGGCAAATTTGACTCTTTTGAATATTTGGCTCTCCAGGTAAAGAGCCCGGTCCGAACCATGTTCTTGAATATTTACAGGCCTCCTAAGTCCAAAACAAACTTTTTCAGTGATTTTGATGAGCTTTTATCTGTGATACGTGTTGAATATGACTGTTTAATTTTTGTGGGAGACTTCAACATTCACATGGACAATCGCGAAGACAGAAGTGCAATAGATCTATGTGACACTCTTAGAAATTTTGGTTTGACTCAACATGTTAAACAGCAAATGCACAAACAGGGACATATTTTGGACTTGATCATCACTAAGGGTCTAAACATTTCCAAGGTGTCTGTAACTGATGTTGCCCTATCTGACCACTTTTCTGTTATTTTTGAAAGCATCATCTCCAATGACTCAGTTAGCCAAAAAGACATTATAAGAAGACACATCTTTAAGGATGGTGCTGCTGAAACCTTTAACCAGATTTACTCTTCTACCTCCACTTTGCCCTGTAACACTGTAGATGAGCTGATAGAACACTTTCATTCTAAAATCTCGGACATCATTGATTCAGTTGCTCCAATTAAAGTGAAAGTCGTTTCTGGGAAGAAAATGTCTCCGTGGAGAAGTGCTCTACCAGTCAGAAGTGAAAAAGATAGTGTCAAAAAGCTGAACGCAGGTGGTGAAAGATTGGACAACAGGTTCACTATAACATCCAGAAAGAGAGACTCCACAAATATAACTTACAACTGAAAAAATGCAACAGAATCTTTCTTCTCTAAGATCATCAGCAAAAACATTAATAACGCTCTTGCCTTATTTAGCACCTTCAACAGGTTAATTAACCCTCCTGTAACTGTAGCATCTGAGCTCCACTCTACCAGGGCCTGTAACGAATTTGCTTCTTCACTGAAAAAATCCAGAAGATCAGACAGGCAGTCGGCACATCCATATCAACTCCAGTACCACAGTTGTCTCCAACTAGAACTGATTTTGACAAAATTTCCCAATTTCACCTAATAAACTACAAAAACTTAGAAGAAATTGTACACCAAGTAAGCTCTTCTTCCTGCTGTCTCAATGTTTTACCCACAGCTTTCCTGAAGAAAGCTTTGCCTGTCATAAAGTCTGATTTAACTAATAAACAACAACATAAGTTATCATAACTTTGCAGACGACACATGGCTATACATTACAATGTCACTAGGTGATTATGAACCCATTGAAGCACTTGGTAAATGCTTAGAAGAAATCAATGCATGGATGTGCCAACATTTTCTTCAACTGAATCAAAACAAAACTGAAGTAATAATTTAATTTTTGGAACCAAAGGAAGAGTGTTTAAAAGTTAGCACACAGCTCCAGTTAATACAGCTAGAACCCAATCAACTGAGAAAGTGGAGCAGATCACCCCAGTTCTATTAGTCCTTACAAAATACTTTTGTTAGTCTATAAATCACTGAATGGCTTAGCACCAAAATACATTACAGACTTGCTGTCAGTGTATCAACCACCCATACCTCTCAGGTCTTCTGGCTCAAACCTACTCTGCATACCCAGAACCAAAACCAAACATGGAGAAGCAGCCTCTCCACTAATCTAGAATAAACTCACAGAAAACTGTAAAAGCGCCGAAACCCTAAGTTGCTTTAAATCAAGATTAAAAACTTATTTGTTTAGAGTGGCCTTTCACTGTGCTATCTAAACATAATTAGTTAAGTTTTAGTAAAACTTTCCTTTCATTTTCTTATCAATCATTTTAGTATTCATTTTTTATTTTATTTATTTTTTTATTATCATCTTTTTAATTATTCATTTTATATTCCCTTTAATTATTTAATTACCTTAATGCCACTGCAATGTAAGTGCGGGGTGCCAGAGCTGCCACAAATGTTTTGGCATTGTATTGGGTGATGGACCCAGAAAAATGCTCTAAGTTAGGGGACAAAAAAGTAATATTCTGCTCGATTCTAAAATTTTTAGAGTGTAGACAGTGATCTGATCCATTTAATTGTAATCAGCAGTAGTCTTGTTCAATTTCTCTTTTTCTATTAATTTTTCATCACATTTTCTTTGATCAACTACAGTCAGCAGGGTAGATTGCTACCTGGCAACATAAGACAGATTATAGTTTATAAATCAGAATCAGAATCAGCTTTATTGCCAAGTTCATACATACAAACAAGGAATTTGACTCCGGTACACTTTGCTCTTTGGTTTTGTTTTTGCATTACAGAATATACATATTTACAATGTACAATA